CGGAGACAAGACTCCTTTCGGTTGCGCCACGTCTCCTCCCCAACCACTCCCCGCACATGGAACCTGTCCATGTTAAATCCTCCCCTTACTTTCCTCTTGCAAAAACGTCCTTTAAACCCACTGGTTGCAAGCGTGATGCATTCCCCCGAGAACCGCGTCAGCCACGTCAGGGCCGTATTTGTATCACCACCTACTGTTTGGCACGGCATTCGTTTGCACGTTTAGCTTGTGCATTTCACCTTGCAGGGCAGGCAACTTGCGGTCAACATAGTTCTCCCCTCTTGGCAGCACCATGCTGGTTTCCAGCCCTCGCTTCATGGGACAGAAAGGAACACGAGGGGCAACCTTCAGCTCTGACTCTGAACTTCAGCTCTGACTCAAAACAGCTCTTAAAGATGTTAGCACCTGGAGTTGCAGTTCAGGCCATTATTGAAGAGCTAGCTACAAAAGTAGGTGGTGCAGGCGGAGCGGAGGGGGGCAGATGTGGGCTCTACCCACTTCCCCAATGCCCCGGAGTGTTTGGATCCGGAAGTTTTGTTTGGTCCCAGTGCCAATGAACTAAAAGGGCGAGAGCACGAATATCTGCGCCACTCGGGGTCCAAGCCAATGTGCCACAGAAAGTAAATAACACGCTCAGCTGGGCTATGCAAGAACCAAGGCTATGTCTAGACTGCAGGCTTCTTTCGAAAGAGGCTCTTTCGAAAGCATCTTTCGAAAGAGCCTCTTTCGAAAGATCGCGTCTAGACTACAGGCGGATCTTTCGAAAGAGCAATCCGCTTTTTCGAAAGAGAGCACCCAGCGAGTCTGGATGCTCTTTCGAAGACGGCCTCTTTACATTGAAGAACGCCTTCCTTCGAAAGAGGAACTTTCGAAGGAAGGCGTTCTTCCTCGTGAAACGAGGTTTACCGCCATCGAAAGAAAAGCCGCGTTCTTTCGAAATAATTTTGAAAGAACGCGGCTTGAGTCTGGATGCAGGGGAAGTTTTTTCGGGAAAAGGCTACTTTTCCCGAAAAAACCCCTAAGTCTGGACACGGCCCAAGAGTGGCCACTCTTCACAGAAAAGAAGAGGGGTGGGGGGAGGAAAATATCTGAACAGCTCAGCAGCTGCCACAAGAATGGAAGGCCCATTCAGAAGAGTGCGGGAAAGCAGTCCGGGGTTGTCTCCTCTTCATGACTTCATCCTGGCATACACGCGAGAAAAAAGCGGCTGTTTACATCTCAATGTTGTGCAGTGGCCGAGAGCAACGGTTAACTAAATATTGTCAGATGAATTAACCAAACCTATACACAGAATGGCTCAGGGGAGGGGCGCATCTGCTGAGCGTGAGTAGAATTTCCAGCGTGTAGGGGAGGCATTTGGGGCTTTGCATGGATGGTTTCTCCTGAAAACGACATTTGGACAAAGGGAAATTGAAGGAGGCCAAATGAGAGGACGGCCTTGCTGCCTCCTGAGAGCATGCTAGATAGAGAGGAATTATAGAGATGGCATTAATTTCCCTGGAAGGGAGACAAGGACAAGGCCTGCAGATGACTTTATTAGCTGTGGAAGTAGCAATGGCACTTTTCCAGGACAACACTATGGCTCCTGCAACAGGGAGTCTTCTGCACGGTAGTGGAATTAATCCCATAGCAGGCAGGAAAGATTTGTGCAGCAGAAGCAGCAGAGCTGGTAGGAGGCAGGAAATGTATCCAGGAGCAGGGCTCCACCAAAACATTTATGGCCCAGAAGAAATTTCAGCCCCCTGATAGTGGGAGGAGTGGTGTGTGTGTGTGTGTGTGTGTATGTGCGCGGGGACGCGTAGCGTGCAAAGTCAATGCAGTCTGGTCCCTGTGTGGTCTAGAGGGGGTTTGTGTGTGTGGTCCTCCCAAAGCCCTGCTCATCTGTCCAAAGGCTGCTAACTGCCTGCTGAATGACCACGTCTGTTTACTTTAGCTCTGTCTGCACCAACTGAACTCTGATCGCTGTCTTCCTCCAGCTGGGCCGACTCAGGACCCCAAAGTGAAAGAGAGAGGGAGAGAGAGAGATCTGTGTGTGAGCCTCCAGAAAAGAATGGACTGCAAATGGACTGCAGTGTAAATCACAGCAAACAATTTATGGGCCATTTTCTCTCCATCAGTTCTCCTCTGACCCCCAGCCCCTCTTCACTCAAACAGGCCGGGCTTATAAATCGCCTGTGCTGAGTGCTGGCAGAAAGGTTTTTCATGTTCCTGACAGATACAATAAAAATATGCATGTGTGTCTGTTCTTTGGGGGGGAGGTGGGTGTGTATGTGTTGTGACTGTGTGTGTGTATGTGCATGCATGGTATATGTGCGCAGTGATTGTGTGTGTGGGGGGGCAGATTATGAGTGTGTGACTGGCTATTGTGTGTGTGTATGTGTCTGGTAATTTCGTATGGGAAGGCCAGGTATGGGTAATTTCGTATGTCTGGTGATCGTGTTTGTGCACATGAGTGTACGGCCTGAGAGGTTTGTTGGGTCTGGTTTGTGAATGACACATAGTGTGGTGACAGCACATGTTGCATGTGCTAATAGAAAAAAAAGAATTCCCAAATATTCCTGCAAACAAAACTAGCAGATCCACTTTGCTCGTTTTTAGAGCTGGGTGGGAAACCAGTCTCCCACCATGGGAAAATAGTTGACATTTCAATAAATTTTCCATTGCTTATTGGGACAAAGATTTGATCTTGAACATTTACATAAACTCACTAACCAAACCCAATTTTAATTAAAGTCAGTGGGAATGTTTTGGCTCTATTTTGATCATTTTTATTGATTTATTTATTTTAACTATAAGTTGCTCACATCTCAAAATGAGAGTCAGTTCAAAGTGGAAAGTAGAATTGTTCATTTTCAAAATGTCAACATGGGAAAATGACCATTTTAAAACTTTTTTATTCCAAAATTTTGTTGTGAGATTCCTATCAAAACAGACCCTTTCCCAGGAAGTTTAAATTTTGACTAATTGACATTTATAGACAGAGAAAATGGTTTGCCAAAAAAAAAAACCCACCAACCATTTCTACTTATTTTTGTGACCCTCTTTTATTCCCCTATCAAAGAATGAGTGAATGGTTTTTTTTTTAATGTAAAGAAATACTCATGGAAAAATAAAATCATGGCAAACTCTGGCATGTGATACGCTTGTGAGTTTGTGTCTATTTGAGAAAAATTATAATGATGCACCATTTTCTGAGGCTTGTTCTTTGCTCAAAAGATTAAAAGAATTATGAGTAAAGATCAACTTAACATGTGGCCCATTTCTGATAACTCACTAAAAAAATTAGGAATTCCTCCTGTTTAAAAATTTGTCAGCAATCATGACACAGACATAATATCGTGTGGTTTAGCTAGTTGCCCATTCACATGATTTTAATACCAAATATTCAGTGAGCAATGTGCAAATAAGTTATTCACTGACATTAGTTTGGTGAAACTAGTCAGACAATTGAAAACAAATAAAATGCCTAAAAATCATAACCTGTTCATAGATAATTCACAAACAGAAAAAAAGAGGATGGATAAATGAGCTATAGTGAATAATTTGATGAGCCTCAAGTTCTGTATATTTTGTGGGAGAGACTCTGGACAGAAGAAGTGAATATTTATATGCAGTGTGCATACATACAATGTGTGTACATTTGTGCATAAAGGATTATGAGCAGTGTGGGGGGGGGGTTACAAAATAAAGGGAGGAGTGTCTGTGTCTCTGTGGGGGTGTGTGTGATAGTTGTGTGTGCATGAGTGTATTGTATCTATGTGTGGCTGTGACAGAAACAAAGAAAGCTGACCAAAAAAAAGAAAAAGAAAAAGAAAAACGATCCACTTAAGGGTGTGCCAATTACACATCATCAATCTTATTTTAAAGGTTTATTATTCATCTGTGAAACATCACTCCAGTCTTAACCTTTACATATAAATATGGTCTGATAATTAAAAAAACAAGAAAGAAAGAAAGAAAGAAAGAAAGAAAGAAAGAAAGAAAGAAAGAAAGAAAGAAAGAAAGAAAGAAAGAAAGAAAGAAAGAAAGAAAGAAAGCTGATACTATATAGGCCATGATATATAATGAGTTTGAAGATAGAATCATAGAACTGGAAGGGACTTTAAATTCAGTCCACTGCATTCATGCCAGGACTAAGTATTATCTAGACCATTTAGTTAAGAAAGTACAAGAGAGAGAGAGAGAGAGAGAGAGAGAGAGAGAGAGAGAGAGTGTGTGTGTGTGTGTGTGTAGTTTAATTCACTTCCCCAGGCTTTATGACATTTTTTCTTTAGTAGTTTAAAAGTGTCTGCGATTATATATTAGCTAGTTACCCATTCTCATGATTGGCAACTCATATATATATATATATATATATCTACTCAAGAAAAAATGTCCCAAAGCCTGAAAGTTATGGAAGTCTTTTGTTATTTAGCTAACAGTAAGAAAAAAAACCACAATCTTAAAACAAATAACATTTGGCATCACAATAAAGTGCTTTCATGGAATTTTGGAAACAATTCAGCATGGTTCTGATATTACACTTTCAATGCTATGTGAAGTTTGGGGGGGGGGTCTAGAATAAGTTATGCCCTTTGGAAATGAGAATATATATCCTTCTATAGAGTTTTAACCAATAGACTGTGTGCATGTGTGTGAGAGAGAATAGAGCTTTAATCAACAGACTATGTGTTTGTGTGTGTGTGTGTGTGAGAGAGAGAGAGAGAGAGAGAGAGAGGAACTCAAGAACTGCTCTAATTTGTTGGGAAGTGAATTAAACCGCTTATTTGTTGTTCTTTGTACCTCATTGATCCATTCGATTGAAATGTATGCTAGTTTTCCTGACGGTGCGACTCCACTCGTGAGAATCTCCACTATTACATGCTTCTAAACAATGAACTATATTTAATTGTTGTATTGATCTACACCCTAATCCTTCACTACCTGACTTCCTAAAATACACTTTAGAAACACACATCCCACATACAGAGAGGAAATGTTCCATTATATTGGATACCTACCACACAGTATTTAAAAAAGGAAGACTGCTTTTAAGATGTAGTCCACGGTCTCCCTCCTGAAAATAATAAAGAACAGTAGTTATTTTTTATTGTCCATTGATTTTAGTGGTGTCCAAATATGTAACTTGTCAGAGAGATTCTTAGGTAAAATATATTTGCAGTGCCTGAATATCTATTAAGAGAAAGATTAGCTAAGAAATAATAAATGCTTTAGAATTTTCCATATTCCCTTCTCTTTGGATTTTAAGAAGATAAAAGAAAGTCACCTACAAAGGATGAAAAGTGACTGAAGGTAAGTTTAGGACTCAAAGCAATAAAGACAGTGGCTTTCTAGATTTTAGTTGCTGGAGTTGTTTATTGTTTCAACTGTGAGTTAAGAATGAAACATCAGATTCCAAAGCACCTCTTTTGACTTTTGACGGGACGTGCATTATAATCTGATCATTATTTTAAAGTATCTTTTCTTGTATGACTGTAGATTCGGAGTTATGCAATGCGTGCACATTCAATTTATTTCTCTCGGGTATTTCTGGAGCCAGATAAGATTGTAAAAGCTGACTTCCCAGCTCTTTGGACAGCTAGGCACATTGTTAAATGGTCTTCAGCATGCAAACCAAATACAGATTGGTCATTCAATATCCACGGTCCGGTTTTACTGGCTACAGATACCGATCTTCCAGCTTTACAGTGGGCTTGCAGACTTGATCAGTGTCCCATAAATGCTCGTTTTTATTTTCCACCAATAGAAAAAAAAAACAACAACGTGTGAGTCCTTAATCCCTGGAAAGGGAGACAGAGGTAGTAGCTTTACGGGGCTATTAGCTAGTAGGTTATCTACGTTGCCAAGAGAAAGGAAATAAGCCAGAATCCGTGTCTGCTGCTCCCAAATTGCGCAGTGCCTTTCTGGGCGCCAGTCTGTGTACCTCCAAATAAGACCCTGACCCTTAAAATTAACCTCTGGTGACATGGGAGGAATACGGGTTACTCGGGCAAACAACTAGCAGCCTTCATTGGAGGACATGGATGGTTCTACGGACTAGGGATTAGCAGATTTATTCATTGGACGCCCGATTTTGATTTTCCATTCCCCTTGAATGGGTTTACATTTAAAAAAAAAACCCTGCGCCCTCTGAAGCAAATAGGTTTTTATTATTATTATCCTGAGCCCATCCTTAGCAAACGAATTTGTTTGTTAAAGTCTAGAAATTCGAGTGACTCCTAACGGGATGCAAGGAAGAAGAGGAACTGGGGTTCGGTTTAACTAGTATCAGTGTGCTCCGTGCTGGATTGGCTTCGGTTTCATGATATTCGCGCAGGAAGGCAATGTATTTTCTCATGTCACATTTTCCCGCTTTCCTCCCCCTCCCCATGGTTTCCCATTTCTGGTCTCTCCGGAGTTGTCACAATTTACTGGAGGCGGTGAGTTCGTTTTATAGGCAAAGAAGAATGCTTTCTGTCTGTTACTGTTAAAAAAAAACCAACAGGTACGTTTAGTCCACGGAGGGTCGCATGCTTGTGGCGTTCCAGATTCACTCTGGTTTCCAGACATATGTAGATAAAGCGCTGACTTTTTCTCCCACCAGCTTAACTAATGATAAACCCCCGTTGGTTCTTCGACGCAAATCCGAGGTGAAATCCAGACAGGATCAAAGAAGGGGTTTGGACCCATGTTGGAGACACACACACCTGCAGGGTGCTGGGTTTCCTTTGGGATGTTTGGGAGGGAGAGAGAGAGAGAGAGAGAGTGGAGTGAGTGTGTGTGTGTGTGTGTGTGTGTGTGTGTGTGTGTGTGTGTGTAAACACATCACGATGCGACAACACGTTCCCCACGCGTTCCAGACAGTCTGTTTCCTGCTGCCCACCCTCCAGGAGTGACACACCTGATCTCTGGGTGATCTGCAGGAGCAGGGGTGGGGGGTTACTTTCCATGCTTCTATTCGTTTCAGAGGATGGGCACAGGGAGAGAGGGATGAACCCGGGATAGGACAGACCAAGATCTGATTCGGAGTACGGGGGTGCTGGGATTCGGAGTACGGGGGTGAGTCTGTTTCCTGCTGCCCACCCTCCAGGAGTGACACACCTGATCTCTGGGTGATCTGCAGGAGCAGGGGTGGGGGGTTACTTTCCATGCTTCTATTCGTTTCAGAGGATGGGCACAGGGAGAGAGGGATGAACCCGGGATAGGACAGACCAAGATCTGATTCGGAGTACGGGGGTGCTGGGATTCGGAGTACGGGGGTGCTGGGATTCGGAGGAAGGGTGCAGCCGGCGGAGGAGCGTGAAATCTGGCGCAGCCCGCACCCGGCCCCCGCAGCGCCCGGGGGCAGCGCCGCAGGACTCGCTCCCCCTTGACCCGAGGCAGGGAGGGGGAGCGAAAGCCGATGCCGAAGTTTCCACCATGTGAAATCGAAGCGCATGTGCCTCTAATGAAATATTTCCTCTTGCTTCATGGCAGCTCAGGCATCCCCATGGCAGGGAGCCTGGGAAAACAGATTCCCCCCAGCTCCCACCCACGGTGCCTAACCGCACTGGCCGGGGGGGAGGGGGGGAGACAGGGCCTCGCTTCGCAGGGCGATGTCAGACCCCCACCTCCCGCGGGGAGCCGGACACCTTATCTCATTCTCCCAACACAGCGCCCGCTACGGGGATTCGCGGGAGGAAGGCTCCGGTCCGTGGGGCAGGAGTCCTACCCATCTGAATAGTCCTACTCCTCCCCTCCCAGGCTGCAGAATACACAGCCGGGTAATCGTCGGGGCTGTGAAAGGGGGGAAGGGTTTTGCCTTGGAGCTACAAGAGACTGGTCCTGGGCTAGCCATCCATGCATGAGAAACTAACTATCCCCGAGCAGAGACTGCAAAGTAGTTTGTGCCAAGAAAGAACTCGGCCAAATTGCTTTGCTTGTGCCTTGGGCATGGTTAGAGTTGAGCTGGCTGTTAAGGATTGACTATAATCATGGCTAGTGACTTGATTTGCTTTAAAATTAGAGGCTGCTTCCAGCTCCTCTCACCACTGGCAATTTTAACTTCCTGGTGAGGGGTAGAAAAAAAAGTGCCAGAATAGGAGCTAGTGTAAACACCTAGGATCAGATTTGGCTCTCAATTAAAGCGGTGTCAAGCCAGAGAAACACAGCTGACCTCACAGAGCACATCAGTGGATGCATACTAGCAGCACTGATAGCTGAATACACCCCCACAGGTTTACTTTAGCTATGCTTCTTTTATTTGATTTAATTAGTTATATTAGCTGTACTATACCCTTAGGCTGTTTGTGTGCGGATGTGTCACTCCTTAGATGCTGAAAAATTTCACCGTGTTAGTCTGTAACTTTAAAAAACATGAATGGTCCTGTGATACCTTAAGAGACTAACCAAAATATTTTGGTTAGTCTCTAAGGGTACGTCTACATTACAGAGAAAGATTGAAGGTGCCGCTGTCAATCTTCCAGGGTTCCAATTAGTGGTCTAGTGAAGACACACTAATTTGAAGTGAGGGAGGCACTCCGGGTGCACTGGTAACCCTGCTTCCACGAGGAGTAAAGGAAGTCGAAGGAAGAGTATTCTCCCTTCGACTTCCTGCAGTGTAGACAGCGCCAAAAACCAAGTTAAGCTACTGGACTTCAGCTATGCAATTAACATAGCTGAAGTATCTTAATTCTTAATTAGGGTTGTCCCGTAGACATACCCTAAGGTGCCACAGGACCATTCATTCTTATCATGCTGACTTATACTCCCTTGGCTGCAGCCAGCTGTTGGCTCCTCCAATACTTAGAAACATAGAACACTAGAACTAGAAGGGACCTTGAGAGGTCATTGAATCCAGTCCCCTGCCCTCATGGAAGGACCAAGTACCATCTAGACCATCCCTGATAGATGTCTATCTAACCTGCTCTTAAATATCTCCAGAGATGGAGATGCCACAGCCTCCCTAGGCAATTTATTCCAGTGTTTATTCACCCTGACAGTTAGGAAGTTTTTCCTTATGTCTAACTTAAACTTCCTTGGCTGCAATTTAAGCCCATTGCTTCTTGTCCTATCATCAGAGTTTGAGAACAATTTTTCTCCCTCCTCCTTGTGACACCCTTTTAGATACCTGAAAACCACTATCATGTCCCCTCTCAGTCTTCTCCTTTCCAAACTAAACAAGCCCAATTCTTTCAGTCTTCCTGCATAGGTCATGTTCTTTAGACCTTTAATCATTCTTGTTGCTCTTCTCTTCTCCAATTTCTCCACATCTTTCTTGAAATGTGGTGCCCAGAACTGGACACAATTCTCCAATTGAGGCCTAATCAGCACCGAGTAGAGCAGAAGAATGACTTCTCGTGTCCTGCTCACAACACTCCTGTTAATACATCCCAGAATCATGTTTGCTTTTTTTGCAACAGCATCACACTGTTGTCTCATATTTAGCTTGCGGTCCCTTTCTGCAGTACTCCTTCCTAGACAGTCACTACCCATTCTGTATGTGTGAAACTGATTGTTCCTCCCTAAGTGAAATACTTTGCATTTGTCCTTATTAAACTTCATCCTATTTACCTCAGACCATTTCTCCAGTTTATCCAGATCATTTTGAATTATGACCCTATCCTCCAAAGCAGTTGCAACCCCTCCTGGCTTGCTATCGCCTGCAAATTTAATGCCATCATCTAAATCGCTGATGAAGATATTGAACAGAACCGGTCCCAAAACAAACCCCTGCGGAACCCCACTTATTCTGCCCTTGCAGCATGATTGTGAACTGTTAATAACCATTCTCAGAGAGTAGTTATCCAGCCAGTTATGCACCCACTTTATAGTAGCCCCATGTAAGTTGTATTTGCCTAGTTTATTGATAAGAAGATCACGTGAGACCGTATCAAATGCCTTACTAAAGTCTAGGCATACCACATCCACCATTTCTCCTTTATCCACAAGACTTGTTATCCTATCAAAGAAAGCTATCATATTAGTTTGACACGATTTGTTCTTTACAAATCCATGCTGGCTGTTACCTATCACTTTATTTTCTTCCAGATGTTTGCAGATTAATTCCTTAATTACTTGCTCCATTATCTTTCCTGG